GCAGAACTATCCCAGCAGTAGAGGCTAAGTACGCTTGGGGTCATGGACCAGCACCCCACAAGCACAGCATAGCTACCAAAGCCTGTTCAATATGGAGAACAGCCAAACCCTGCACTGTCTGGTGAATCTGAAGACCCTATTTTCCAACAAGGTCACATTCTGAGGCTCTGGATGGGTGTGGATTTTTGGAGGACACCATTTGCTGAGTACACTATTTTTATCTCTCGATTTGGTCCATCTGTAGGTATGGTATAATTTAAAATCTGTAGGCATGGTACAACTTAAAATACTTTTTTATAATCCTTTTAACATTAAGCGGGTCAGAAGTGATGGCTCCTCTTTTATTCTCGATGCTACAATGTGTATCTTTGCTGTTCTTTGTTAGCCTGGCTACAGGTCTATAGGTTTTATCAATCTTTTTTAAATAATAAGCTTTTGTTTTCTTTGATTTCTCTGTGTTCAATTTCATTGATTTTGCTATATTTTTATTATTATGTGCTTGCTTTGGGTCTGAAATGTCTACTTTTTCTAGTTTCCTAAAGTTGATACTTGATTATTGATTTTAGATTTTTCTTCTTTTCTAATGCATATATTTAATGCCTTTCATGTCTTTATGAGCTGTGATCAAAACTACAGTAAATGTACCCGCTGAAAGATGAGCTCATGAAAACATGACAAGGAATGCACCAACACAGAGTGAATGCACCAACAAAAAGACAAGCTTGTAAAAACACCACAGTGTATCCTTATCCACTTTCTCACCAGATCTGGCACCGTTCAACTTCTGGCTCTTCCCCAAAGTCAAAATGACCACAAAAGGCAAAAGTTTTGGATCAATTCAAGACATTGAGGCAACCAAAACAGTGCAATTAAACCAAAGTTCCTCACGAAAGAGGAACCACCAGAACTACTTTAGAAAGAGGCAAGAACAATGCGATAATCTGTTCAAAGCAAAGAGGAATATTTTTTTTATTTATTTTAAAGAATAAAAGAAGGATAACATAATAATAGGGGGGACTTAGCAAATTACAGACAAAATGGTAAGAAATTATCA